GTGGGCGGTGTAGGGGGGCTGTGGGCGCCGCCCGTCTTGCCCGCACCCGGTCTCTCGGCGCGCTCCTCCCCTGGGCGCCGCCCTCCCGCTGGAGCGGACACCCCGCACTCCTGGGTGTTCGCCCAGCCCCTTCTACCCCGCAGACTGCCTCCCTTGACCTGCCTGGTCCTTCCCCAGTTCTCCTCCTGTGTGTCAGCATCTCCTCCTGCTCGTATCCCCTCCTCATCTCTCTTCTTAGCCAGAGATCCTCCCCAGGAGTCTAATCAAGAGTGGGAAGCTGGTCCTGTCGGTCATAATTTCTGCTCAGTGGTCGCTTTGCCATTTAGGGTTGGGGGTGGTGTTTGCAGTCACCTTTCAGATCAACTTTCTGTCTTAGAATTTTTTCTTAGGATCAACTTCCTGAACACTCTGAACAGGGCCAGGGTACTACTCACACAGATTATGGAGTTTACTGTGAAGTGGTCGCTGTTTACGCTGGTACATTTGTGATTTTGTTGTCCACTGCAGGGCAATCTAAAAATTTGTTAAGGCTGGGTAGCCTTTCATTTTTTGTTCACCCGTGGTTTATAAAAACGAAGCTTTAATCTTTAAGGCAGAAGAAGTTGCATATATTCATAGCAGTTTATCACTTTGACATAAACTGCTGCTGTAAACATGTACTACCATTTTACCTTTTCTGGATATTTTGAAATAATAAAAGAAATTTCTCAAATAAAGTCATAGTATATAAAAGTGTAATGGAAAAATCAGAGAGAATGGTCTAAAACTATTTTAGTGATTAAAGACTAGAAAATACTTTTCAATGCATATGTGGAATGAGAACAGGATAAAAAAAAAAAACGATTGCAAAATATAATTATAGTTCAGTATTTGTCATCCTGGTATACCTCTGTGGCCTTTAACATTTGTGAAGAGCCCCAAGTTTGTTAGTTCACAGAGAGTGTATCTTTTTGTAGTTCAGGAAAGCTTTTCTGTCAGTACTCTTGAGCCAAGAGAACTATGCTGTCAACGGTGTTGGGAATACATTAAGAGAGTACACAGCTATACTTGGAAACCTTTTCTGTTTTCATCCATGAAAGACTTTTGGTGAAGATCTGTTTTTCTTCTGCATTGATGGTTGGCAGCATTAAATATACACCATCAAAAATTATATAGTGTTCAGTTTATGCAGCTTCTGCACTACTTCAAAGGATGATGTCATTAGTCCAGAAGAAATAATGAGACTTTTGGCAGACAAGTCACTTTTATTTCCTCTTCGATGTAGAGGTAGCTGTAACTCTGGTTTGTGAACATTGAAATTTTTCTCAGGTATTTTTCTATGAAAAATTTCAAACAGTGCAGAAAAATAGAGTTGTCCCTGCCACCGTATAGCAATACTGATTTCAAGACAGCTATTACATAATAATTATTAAGGAACAGAGGAACTGAAATGATTGAATTTGAAAAACCAGCGTATAGGTGTGTGTGTGTGTATATATATACCCACCAAATATTGTGAAGTTCTTATTTCTGTTTGTAAATGGGAATTGTGCTTATAAAAACTATAGTAACTTACTTTTACTACTTTTGAGTTGGAATTTCACTCTGTAGCTCAGGCTGGAGTGCAGAGGCACACTCACTGCCATCATAGCCTCAACCTGCTGGGCTCTGGCATCCTTTCACCTCAGTCTTCCAAGTAGCTGGAACTATAGGCATGTGCTGCTACGCCTGGCTAATTTTTTGATTTACTGTAGAGACGAGCTCTGTCAAGTTGCCCAAGCAGGTCTAGAACCCCTGGGTTCAGGCATTCCTCTCCCCTCTGCCTCCCAAAATGCTGGAATTACTGGTGTGAGCCACTGTGCCTGGCACAACTTTAGTAATTTAATAATGGGAGACTATTCAAAGCAGTCTTGTGAGTGAGCAGGAAGTCATCTGTAATCAAGGTCCAGATGAGTAAATTACATTTTGGTAATCAGAAAAAAGGAAATTGAATGAACTTGATATACAAATAAAAATTTTGTCTTAAAATTGGACTCCTGTTCTAATAGATTATAGTTTTGTATTTGATTTGTAAATGAACTTTTTTTTAGAAGGCTGTGTAAGGGACTATCAATTATGTGAAGTTTGATAACATATCATAAATTGGATCAATCTATGTATGTTTAGGGATAAGAGTGTGTTTTAGTAATAGAAAAAGTAAGTTTACAAATGTGAACTTTCTTAGTAGAATTACTTCATGGGGACTGAAGTTATTAGACAGATGCAAGTTAGTACTTTGGAGTCAAAACTATCTTGGGTATTGTCTCATAGTGCTGATAAAGGAATATTAATGTAAAACTTCAGTTTATAATAAAGGAATAAGTAGAAATGGGTATAAATTCACATATGTGTGTATTAAATTTGTAATTTTTTATACTTGGGAAACTTTTGCACTCTTTTATTTGTAACCTGCTTTTTACTTTTTGCATATCCTAAATCTGTTTTTTATATTTACCTTATTTATATCCTAACTTCCTAAATATTGAAATTAAGAACTATGTCTCAGAATTTGTAGACCTCTGAATTGTCTCATTATTTTTCCCTATTTCTTTTGTCTTTGGCATGCTTATGTATGATTAACCTACCATGCCATTGAGAGATTAAAGGGAACAAGCAGGTCACAGTTTTGGAACTTTAGTGGTAGATTCAGGTAGTTCTGAAACAATGAGATGTTTAGATATTTTTTAAAAAATCAAAGCTCCAGTTTTCCCCAGCCTCCCTACCTCTTTCCCTTTCTTATTTCTTTTCTTTCCTATTTTTATTTGATTATAAAAGTTAAATGAGTTGGAAACCAAACAAAACTTCTACTTCTTCTGTAACCCTCTACCAATCGTTTCCATTTTAGGGTCTTCATTTTAATGTATATGCATTTGCATCTAAATTTGTAGGAGTTCCTGAACTTGAGGTTTAGTTGCCCTGAATTCGAAGAGAGCTTCCAGATCTGGGGAAAAAATGGAAAAGAATAAATAGAGGACAGATTAGAGTGAGACCAAAGGAATCAGACCCATGCAGTTATTTTTTCTTATTCCATAAGTATAAATATAATTAGTTAATCTTATGAAACTGCTGTAGGGAGGATAAAATATGGGGCCAAGTTTTTCTTTAGACTTTATAATAACTAGTAAGATAAAGTTTACTTAGGTTTTTTATATTAAAATTTTCACATTTCTCCATTTTTGGGATATTATATATTCAGCTTTAAAAAATTTAATGTCAAACATGACTTGGAATTGTTTTTAAATATTCATATCAAACTATGACTAATTCACTACAAGTATGATATTGTTGCTCATTTTTTTAGTAGGTATTAATTAAAAGACTAGAGATTTTAATGTAGGTTTTCTTTGCCAGGTTGCAAAGTGTAGTGAAAAGATGAGCCATTTATTTTGTAGTCAGATAATCTGGGTTTCAGTTACAGTTTCTGAATCTTGGGCAGGTTCCTTCATCTCTTTAAATAATAATTTCTTCATCTATTAAATAGATGATAAAATTGTCTCAAGTTTGTTATATAGAAGAAATGAGACAGTATAGGTAAAATGCCTATAAATAGGAAATGCTCAACTTTTGTATTCAGTTCTTTCCATGGTAGCATTAATTTAATCTTTTCTGGTATTAATTTGTTTATTCTACCATTGTTAAAGTCCTTAAGTTTCAGACATAGGAAATGAAAGTGTCGACCTACTGGGCTCTGGTGATCCTCTGCCTCAGCCTTCCAAGTAACTGGAACTACAGGTGTGC